CACAAAACTAATGAAACGCAGTGGAATTTAACCAAACTGAAACTGAACCTAACGGACTGGTTCCTCTAACTGGCCTGAGGAAAACAAATGGAGCTCAACATCTGCAGCAACATATAAAAGCCCTTTTCATTTACCACAAAGGCTAGACAGTGAAAAGTCATACAACAGAGAAGAATGGCAAAATGTTAATAAAACCACTTGATGCAAAATTACTCCATGCAATCCAATAACAAGTATTTATTTGCCTCTTTCCTGACTGTATATGTATATTTACCAAGCCAAAGAAAGGTCTGTGATGGTCTCCACCACTGTGTAAAGAGCAAACACAATCCAGTACATCATCCATCGCACCTGTCAAACCACAAACGCAAACACAAAATGTCTACTGGAGGTATAGAAGAGCTGCTTACAAAAACTTACCATGTAAATACTATAATATGAATATTATTCATACACTATATGATATACATCAAAGTACAATGGTATCACATCACTGTACCATGGTACAGTCACAGAGACCACAAACAGGGCACACATGGTGGAAAAACAGTATTAAATTGCTAATCAGCTCAGGGTTTAGTTACTGACAGCCTCTGTCAGATACAAAGAGTAACCAGGATATATGGACAGTTTAGCTGAAGCTCTCCATTTATTCTGGCTATTAACATTCTCTAAAGTCAAATATTAAGATGTGAAGAATCAGCAGAACACAGCTGGATAAAGATATGCATGTGCCTTTATATGAATTGAGTACTCACATATTCTTTGACATTCTTGGATTTGACGGCTTTAAAGGAGTAGTACGCAGGATACAGCGTTCCAAACACAAGACTGTGATAAAACACACACAGACATATACATTATATTCAAAAATATCATGTAACTGTTAATGCAAGCAAACAAATAAAGGTTGGTGAACTAACAGTAACACTCAACCAATCTTTTTTTTTTTTTTTAAATGTAAGATATACTGATATATCTATATAGGTTATTGGCCAGTATTAGGGATTATTTTCCATTTATTTTTGCATTTGGATTATCTTAAATTCTTAAAAACACTAATAATTTAATTTATATTGAGTTAATCTTTAAATACAGTAATAATTTAATAACACCATTAATATTCCTTTTTTCTACTGTACATTATAATGTTGTGGTAACTAAATACTTGTAGCATTTAAATTGACTAATCTTAGTTTTATGTGATCTATTTCTAATTTATTTAGACAAAATAAAGTGTAGAATTCAATAAATTATCAGTTATGGGCCATTACATGAAAATAATTATTGGTCATGACATGAAAATGATTATCAACTTTTTGTATCAACCATAATTTAAATATCGGTGGATTCCTATGCACAATTTTATATTTGATGATAATCCATCCATTTTATTTGGAAGCCCAACCAGATGGCAAATCCAGCCTTTGCCTTACAGGCCTACTCAAATATTGAAACCAGAACAATGATTATTCAAAATGCTTTATTTATTGTGACAGATGAGATTGAAATCCCATTTTTCTCTCCCCAAAAGAGGTGTTGAACACCTCACTTTAGTACATACACAAAGTAAATCCACAGTCTTCTCTGTAACTGGCTTGTGTTTCACTGAACCATATATTTTCGAGTAGCTATGGGAACGACATCACTGCCTGAACAAATCTAAAGTTATGTGTGATCATGGGTGTGTGTGGTGAGGGACTGTTGGATGGATTCCATTTATTGCGTAACAGTTTCTCCACTCTAAAACATCTCTACCACAAAGCAAAATAAATGCTGAAGTCAAGAGTAGAGATCATCTCTTAACTCAAAACAGTGAAACTGTTTGTAATTAAACAACTTCAGCATCACCAAGTCACCATTTCCAAACACAGCCTGCCTTGCTTTTATTACTAGACAGAAGAAAGTGTTTAAACGTCAAATGCTGTGAGAACACATTAGAGTCACAATGGTTTAGTCATGCATTTCCTATTACGCTGTTCGCTGGGAGAACTCGTGAGGGTAAAAAAAAGAAAGGAAAGAATAGGAATGAGTGTGTGTGTGTGAGAGAGAGAGAGAGATGTTACTGCACATCTCTAAAACAGCTAGGCCTTGTTTGCCGGCAGCAAATAATTCATCATGTTAACTTACAGTAAGAACACAAAAGGCATTTCAAGAGAACTTTAGACTTTGAAAGCGACTATAACCTACTATATATAAATGTATTTCTATCAGTGAAGACCAGAGACCCTTATCTCTTATATTGTCAGTACACTAAAGATAACCAAACCCATAGCAAACAGCACCTAGTGAGATGAGGCACAGAATGTGCTTCCCTATGCTGACCTTTTCCGCAAAGAAAGAGACACACCTTCTGTAACATTACGGTCTAGCAGGAAAACAGCAGTTCCTCCCTGGCAGACAGGGACTCTGAATAAAGCAGGTCTCCAGCCAAAAACATGATGAATTTCCTGTTCTACTCCACCAAGTCAGCAAAATTAATGTAGGGTTTGTTTTTTTCCCTGCATAATTTGTGAATTTTTATTATGGTTGATTCAGAGGTTCCTACACTTTCTTACCAGTGAATTTCCAAGATTTTTCCATTATTTTTCCTATGATTTGTGATGACTTGATAAGGTTTTTGTGCATTCACAAACCATTCATTTCCAGCCTACTAAATACTTCAGATCTGAGTATAACTATATTGACTGTAAATATTTACATGACCTTTTAAAATTGTATTAATTTCCATTACTTTTCAGGGCCTGGACATTTCCAGGTACATTCCAGATTTCCTAGGACAGTGGGAACCTTGTTGATTGTGAAAATATATAAAATAAAAATACTGCAGAAATGTAATAACTGTAACAGTGTTATTTACTATATTGGGGACAAAAAGCTATATGCATGTCGGTTTTTTTCTTCTTCAGAAAATAATCGACAACTTGTTTTATGGGCTTATAGTACTGGTTTGTATTGTAACTATGTAGATATTAGACAGTAGTATAGATTTTATCCGTATGAACTAACGTAAATGCGCAGTCAGACTCAGCGGTTTTCACTAATGTACTGTAAGCTCAAAAAACGCAAATAGTTTTCAATAAATACTCACACGATGGCCCTAGATATAATCCACGACACCATCTTCCAACCTGTTGCACTTTTAAATTATGAGATTCGCTGCAGGTCCAGTCCAGAAGCATAGACTATTCAAATAAACTATAACTAATAATAACTTCTGTCTCGCTTCTCCAACCGCTAAAACTCATCCAATGAGTTCCTGTTTTTAACGCATGCTTCCTGATATCCACAAGTTTGCAAGATGACATCGTTATTTGACGAATAACCACTCGTTCAAGCTGTTGTCCTCTCCCTACATGATGTTCCGTTGTGTTAAAAAGAGCATGTATTGTTTTCCTCTTCTCAAGTCCTTTTCGGACTAGGGACTAGGTCACCTTTTGATTGATGGCTCGACTGGCCACTGATTGGACGGAGCCACTGGTTTATCCCGCCTTCTGCGTTTGCTGATTGGACCACTGACTCAGCGCCAAACAGGGTCACAGGGCGGAGCGGCTCATCGCTTGCACGCTGTTTGCGTACCAGGATAGGAATGACTTGAGTTTGAAACAGGTAATTTGGAAACGTTTTTTATTTGAAGATGTTAAATACTCTTCGATGCATGGGAGGACAGATACATTGATTTTTTATTTTTATTTTAAATGTTTGTATTGTCGTGTAGTCCAGTTATTTTTAATTTCCAGTTATAAGATCCTAAAATTTGGGGCATGCAGGGTGATTTTTTATTTTATTATTATTATTATTAATTTTTTTATTTTTTGGTTACTGAAAGAAAGAAAATAGGCTATATTTTATTGTTGCAATAATGTAGGTTAGTTATATAATAGATGGTAACTGTAAATGCAATATTGTTTCGCCATATAAAATGAATGAAAAAAAGATGATGCATCCGAAAGTTTATGTTTGGATTGCTAAACAATGAAAAACAGCTGAAGATTTTATGCCTCATCTGTTTTAGGTTTTCATCATTTGCCCTCAAGTCAATTTTGCAGTGTGCATTAGAGTGTTAAAATGCACTTAGAGGGGTGTAGCACAGTGGATAATGGTGACTTTAACCTTTCTGTTGTAGATGTCTAAACTGCACCCAACCGTGATCCTTTGACCCACACTGATTGTTTTGATTGTGGTACACTGGCTCTAAAGACCACCCTTAAGGAAATCTGGTCTAAAAGTATCATAGAAATATTGGCAAAGCTTAAATATTGCATCTTTTGCAACACTGTGTTGTGGTTCTACAGGTTTTTAGAAAATACTATAGTGGCCATGTAGTGTTAGGAGTAAATAACATCCATGGGGCCTTTGAGGGTCTTTAGTTTCAATGTACCATGTCATACATTGGGTGGGGGCTAAATAGGGACAGTCCATCTCAAGTGGTCCAGTGGAGTTGGTTGACCATTTTTAATTTTCCTTACTTTTTTGAGTGATTGCATCTATGTATTGGTATTGCAAAACCTTTTTTCACTTTGTTTAACCACAGCACCATCTCTGTGTCATAAATATTTGACACATTCTTGTTATCTTGTTAAGTCCAAATGTAAAGATCTAGATTGCTCAGGGTTCCACTTATAGGGTCAATTTATAATGGGAAGGATTTGGGCCTTAATTTTTTTAGGGAGATTAAATTAAATTTTTTATATGCAGAACATGCATACATTTCAGGTTTGAGACGTTTAAAATACACATTTTGACTAAGAATCTCAGTTTGTATTTGTAATTTTTATTGTCTGTTACAGGTAATGCCACCTGGAGACAGACAGTCATTGGAGAAGAACTTTTCCTTAGATTTTATCACTTACCAGCTGCCATAAAATCAACTATTTTTCTTTCTCAACAGATTACCACAGTTTAATATAATAATAGCTTTCATGTAGCTCAAACAGTAGAGCATGGAGCTAGCAGTGCCAAGGTCATGGTTTCGGGAAAACAAAAAAACTGATCAAATGTGTGTATGTATCTTGTATCTTGAATGCAATATAAGTTGTTTTGGACAAAAGCGTCCGTAAAATGTAAATAATAATAATATAATAATTTAATTTTATATTTTAATAAAATAGTAGTTAAATTCTTTAATATTTTAAATGATAAAAAATGCTATTAAAATATAATAAATTAATATTTTAATTAAGAAAAACATCAATGATGTTATAAGAGTGACATCATTAAACAATTATGAAACTATTCACAAAACAAAAATGCCAAATCCCTCAAAGAAAGCACTCCCTCTTTTGTGTAGGCTCCAGGATTGGTTCAAGGTTGGATGCGCGTGCCCTTGTTTCTGGCGCGTGCTCCGTCCTTCAGCAGAATCCCTGCGCGCGATAACGCGTCAGCATCAAGCAAAGGATAACTAATATTTCCAATGAATGATACGTCTGATAGCTGACGAACTGCACGAGCTTGATCCACTCTGGCATCGCTGATCCATATATCAGGGGGAGACGGGGCGTGTTTGAGGTGAGAATGAACAGAAGTCATGCTTTATGATTGTGTTGTGCATTTTGTTGGTGATGCCAGGTTTCTGAGGAGTCGTGCAAGGGCTGCAGTTCCGCCTGAGGAGCTGTCTGTGGTTCTGAAAGGATGGGGTGTTCTGTGCAAGGCTGAGCATTTTTGGTTACACGAAAATTAGCTCCCTGCTCCCGTTTCTCGCGGGTTGAAGCAAGATAAGACAGCGAATCTCGCTTGACACATCATAAAGCGTTCGCATGCATGACATACGGGTGCAGCGCGAGGTAGAACAGTGTTTGCATTTAATTGGCTTGTCCCACCGATATTACAAAACTGAGAAGTGTGTCTGATCTGTGATCTGCTGTCATCAGATTTTCAGCATTTACTTAATATTCTGTTCTTTTTAACCTTGAAAGGAAAATCCTCAACCACCAGCAGATAATTGATTTAGATAGCCAAATATTGTTGTAATCCAAATGTTAGCTATGCATTTTGGTTTCCCCTCAAATACCGTTGGTAAAGCATGGTTGTAATTACAAATGACACAATCAGGTGGGGATTATCACAAAGACATTGCCAACTGATCAGTTCTGCGGTGTTGTAGCATCATAAATACTTAGATTTCTATTCAGTTACATATCATACAAGTTTTGACGTTTTAAGCAGTCAGGGATCATTTTTTATTATTATTATTTATTTGTGTGTGTGTGTATGTGCCTTGTTTCTCCCTATCAGGTGTATATATCCACTGGAGTAGCTGTTTTGCAGAGTTTTTGTTGAGTTTTTGAACCATGGCGAAGAACAACAGCCTCCATCCAAACAGCAATGGAGAGACGGACGACTCGCCAAACATGCTGGTTTACAGAAAGGTAGGACTTTTGAATAATTATTTGAATGGTTACTTTGCGAAAGGTATTGCCTTTTTGACAGAACAAGTAGTGTAAGCTTTGTTTTTTTGGAAAGTCAGTTGCTGTGTGGACACAAATCTTGAGATCTTGGTTACAAAAAGCCATTAAAGGAACACTCCACTAATTTTGAAAATAGGCTCATTTTTCCAACTCCCCTAGAGTTAAACAGTTGAGTTTTACCGTTTTCGAACAGTTTAAAAAAAAAGAAGAAAGAGTTTGTTTACCAAACATTGACCTTTTGTGGCTATATGGGGTTGTCACTATGGGAATATGCTATTAAATAGCATATTACATTTAATCTTTTGCCTTTATGACAATTTTCCCTTGTGACTGTGAGTCCCTCTGTAGGGCATTTTCTTGAGAAGCAACAGGAATGGAAAAACTCATGTTTTGAAAAAGGAGAGGTGGACATCAAAACTTTTTTGACCTTTCTTACTCTCCATCTTTCTGATGATTGGTAATTTGCTCATCAATGCTTGAGTCAAAGTCATTTATATTGCTGATTGGGAACTAAAGTCTGTCATTGTGGCTGAGAGCCACTAATGTACCACTCACCCTATGGAGACTCAAAAAAGGAACATGAATTTTTCACGAAGCCATTATCACATATTTAAAGACTTGTGTGGCAAATTACAGTTTCAGTCATGGTCAGTCGTTGTATCATTAATTAGTAGCCTGCTTAAATGAGCTCTGATGATGAATCAGGTATCTGAGTGCTTCTCTGTGATGAATTCATAATTCTAGTTTTTATGCCGACATTAGGACTGGGCAATCTATTAAATATTTATGATGTATTTGTAATGATTTTGCCCAGCAATATCAAATTAATCAACACTGTGATAATACAGTTTTTATTTGTACATTTATTTTCTTAAACGGTAGCATGGCTCATTTAAACGTTTTTATAAATCAATTCAAATGGTTAGTTTCAATGAAACTCATAATAAATATTTAGAGAAAGATGCATTGCAGAAAGATGCGTTCTGCTGCCAGATGGTGTAGTTAAGAAATCTACCAGCAGGGACTAACAAGGCCATGTTAACCAGCCAAACCTTGATCCAATCCTCTGATACAGCAAAGACTTGCGACCCAAACCCCTGTGCGATCACGACTAGCATTTCTTCTGTCCTGTACCAGCTTGCCCTCCCGTCTCTCTTGGCCATGATAAATTTTCAATCTGTTCCCTCAGGTGTGGCTGCAATATGTTGTCAGAACATGACAGTCAGATATAGTTTGGAGACAGTGAATCATTCATCTATCAGAGGTTGCAGAATCTTCCTGCAAGACTCTATTTATTCTTCCTTCTTTCATTTCATTTCCTTCACCCTTCAGTTGATTTTCACATTTCCTCCATGCTGCTTCAGTCCTATTAGGTGTGCTGTGCTGTGAAGGTGCAGGAAGGAGAGGTGCTCTGCAGTCAGAGATACTGTGGCTCTTCTCGTCGCATCACAAGACATTAACTCACCCAATTCAGAACTAATAACTACTGGCCAGTCTCTTATCACAGGCTTTTCTAACAGATCTCAAAGAGCTGAAAAGATTTATGAAGGACCTTAGGCAGAACAGGACCACTTTTCCCAAAAGCACCGCAACCCTAAGTGGACTGTAAAAATGGCCATACGAATCATCATAGAATTACAGACTGTTTCCCAAAAGCATTGTAAATTAAGTAGTTCTTGAAAATCTTAGATGTACGAGTCCTTGGGAGTAACTGTAAAGAGGCAGACTTATGCAGATACCTGCAGGACAAAATTACACCTAAATTTAATACAGTACTTTTCTGATGTGCTACACTTGACGCATTATACAATTAATTCTACTTATTTTATTTATTTTATAATTAACGTGTGTATATTTTGAAGTAGCATGTAAACCACTTTCTAACATTATGTACTTATTTGCTCATTTTTTATTTATGAGCAATGCTTCACTGTTACCATGTGCTCCATAAAAATGATAAATATAACAGAATAAAAATAGTACACTTACATAATTACAGTAGCAAATAAAACACCAGTAAAAAAG